GCCACCACTTCCCTCTACCAATAGAGTTGGGAAGGAGGTGCGAAGGGACACATTGACCAGAGCAGACCAGTTCCTTGACAGGCTTGATGCTGCGGCAAGGCCCTTCTGTGACATAGCGGGTGGTTCGCATTTCTCTGCAGCTGAAGTCGGAAGCATCTGCAAACAAGAAACACATTAATTACTGACTACTTTCTTCCCCATCCTTGAGAAAGCACTTTTTTGCTTCTGTAGCAGATATCTAGCTCTGAGCTAGATACAAGCTGGACATCTTCAGTGGCAGATTTTGGGAAGAGTATCTCCAAAGACTCACTCATGCAGCTTCTGAATATCTGGCTACACTAGTCATGAGACCCTTGAATAACAATATACAAATTGATGAACGAAATCCTTCTCTTGCCACTAGGTAAATTCCATGTCAGGATTCTGCAGGTGGGCAGTGCAGCTTCTGAAGTGCAACCCCAGCAGCAGCGGTTACCTCATGGGAAATTTTGATGGGATTCTCCTGGCTTCATTTACCTGTGGGCAAAACCTTCCCCCATTGCTCTAGTTTGTTGACTTCAGAGGCTGACTCCAGATTTAAATTCTTTTGCAACAGAAAGTGTTCCTTAAGTTATTTTTAACTAGCATAATGTGTTCCAGATTAGGGAAATCAGCAGGTAACAACAGTGCTAAGAAATTCCCACTCTTCAGGCACTAGGTTTTCCAAGTTTACTGCTCTCTGTGATAATCCCATTTGTCCCACATAACTTCCTTCAGACAGCTAGAGGCATCTTCTGGCTGATTAGGAACCTTACAGTGGTTCTTTTTCCCCCTTTTTCTCAATGGATAGCTATAGGCAAATGAAACATTAGGAAAGACAAGATTTTTTAGCATTAAGGATTTAGAAAAACTTTCCAATTGTAGGAACAGACTTTTTCTGAAGGCGTCTCTTTTGCCAAATGACATGCTTGGCTAATTGACTTGTTTGGAAGACAGAATTTGATTTTTGAAGGTGTTTATCAAAGAACTTCATCTAGATAAACACATGCTAATGATCTCTTAGTCAAAAGGATCGTCTTAACTCAGGAACGCTACTTGTGGTGGAAATCCTCAAAGGCCAGCTTACAAATAGAAGGCTGTGTCTGTTAGACCCATTCTCCTTGCTGTGCACAAGGTGGTTCCCCTCTTAGAGGGAATTCTCTATTCCCTCAGTAGAGAATTCTGACCCTGAGTCATTAGTGATAGAACAGTATTTGTACAGACATTTTAATTTTTGTTTTTCCTGTGAAGTACAGAAACATGATTTTTAGTGCTCAGGTTTATATTTATCACAGTACAGCTAGCAAGATTTCATTTTTAAAAAGTTTTAAGGACTGCATTAATGAAATGAAACAATCCTTGTCATAATGGTGTGACAAAAATGCTGACAACTGAAGTCCACGTGCACTTAGTCTTATCCTCCCAAGCTCCATACACATTTAAGGAAATGATGTCTGTCTATGTAAAAAATAATGCTCTGAATCAGGTGTGTTGTACCACCATAGCACATAGGCAGATACAGTTAAATATACGGGCATTTGTCTCAGCTATATAGGTTTATTTTCTGAGCATGTATGTCCTGTCCTGTATGTGTGCAGGTTCCACATACTGCAAAATTATTCATGGTCTGGTGCAATATCTTGTGTCCTGGGAAGGTCTCGCCACTTTGGATCATCAGTTTGATTCTTTGTGTTAAAGATGTTAAAATAAGTATGCAAGACTATTTTATATCTCGAATAACTGTCCAGTCTCCTTCACTCTCTCTTTCTTAAGTAAATGTCCTTTCCACTTCAAAAAATATGCACATATCAGTGGGACAGATTCCCCCCAGTTGATGTCAGAGTAGTAAGATGCTAAAAAATGAAGGTATTCAGATGCAACAACAAAACCAACCTGCCTTGACCTGGTGGGTGGTGGGGCTGCCTGTGGGAAGCAGCGTGCTCACACTTTTAGGAATTTAAGACCTTTATAAAGTCGCACTCTCAAAAACATGACTTCATTTTTTTTCTTTTAAAATATTGTTAATGTTATGGTTTTAAACACCTTAACTGACAGCTGCAGCAGAAAAACACAATTCCCTTCCAGTTGTCCCCAGAAAAAGAAGGCTAGCTCAGATCTGCAGTGCATGATGGTGGAAACTGTAAGTTTGACTTGTTGCTACATGCATTTGGTAGCCAAATGCGTCACTATGAAGGATCAAGTTTGCCCTATTTGCCAGTAGAACACTTCTTTAGAACTACCTTTCTCTGGTGCTAACTCCCCATCTTCCATCTCTCCTCACAAAGCTTGTGTTTTGCATCATTGCTAACGTTAGACATTTGGCCAAATGCAGTGACAATATGTTATGAAGTATGTCAGTGCTGTTGAAGTAGCCAAACGGATTCCAAGATTGCACACCTCTGCAAAATAGAGTCCCCTCCAATTCATTTGGGCATGAATTCCCCTTGGGAATGCTTTAACTGTTCATAACAGCTTTTTTTGGCTGCTGGAATCTGGCTGAAAATCTGGCTGTTGGCAAAGGACAGTGAGCAGCACACTTCTCTCATCTAGCTGAATACAAGCTCCATGTGCCATTGTTCCTGTATAAGCTTAGACATCACTAGTGTGACTCTTTCTAAATATTAAGAATTTATATTATCTCCACTGTCAACATATTGCCCCATCCTAACATCAAAGAGAGAAAGATGACTTATGGTATTTCCTCACAGTGCTTGCAAGCACAAAACACAGAGAAATTTAAGTAGTATCTTCTACAGGTTTTATGTATTGGAGTTGTGTCTGCAGAGAGCAGCTGGGCAGAATAGGAATGCATATTGTAGTACCTAAGGATCGTTCAATAGATAGACTACGTTTTTCATCAGTAAACTCCCTTCTAATGTTTACACTGATAGTTCTTCAACAGTAGATGTAACTCCCTATCACTTACAGCATTAGGTCCACACCTGAAGGTTTTAATAAACAAACATATATGATAACAAGTATTCTTTTACAAACTGCCTGTTAGGGTCCAAAACAGTTATAATGATGTAATTTCTCTTACCGTTAGGGTCTGGAGCTTGTGGTATGTGTCTTCCTCCATGCTTTGCCTGGTTCATTGTGTTGTTGTTGCTGAAAGTCTGCTCCATCGGTGTTTCTGTATTTTCAGTGATCTCAGGAATGATTTCAGTAGCATCATTTTTAAACATCTGCCACCCTTCCACAGACCGAAATGCAATTTGTATTAAGACACAGACAGAGCACACAGCCCAAGAGATCTGCATGGTGGCAGCTCACAGATTAGCTTTTCAGCACCCTGACAGTCTCAGATCCCAGGCAAAGGCACATTATTCCCCTTTTTTAAATCCTTTTTAGAACTAAGCCAGCCAATGACTATACAAAGTGGGAAGGGCCAGACAACAAGTCATTCATCTCAGCTTTTGTCAGTATGAAATAAAATGGGTGTGTGGGGGTGGGTTAGTGACAATATTCTACAACTTCTATGGAAAAACTTCTCATATGCACTTCAGCTTCATTTTTGTGCCTGGCAACAATGGTGATTGACAAGACTAGGATGAATTGCAACCTGACAAGTCTTTCTGCAGTTTTTTCTAACAATGTTATGATTAAAACCTGCTTCTACCTCCATATTTGAATCTTTGGCTATTGTCTTTTCCAAAGGTTTTTCAGACTTTTTATTTTTACTGTTGTTCTTCCTCTTCCCCCCTGCCCCCAGTATAAATTAAGCAAATCTAGAAACTGTAGCTCAGTAGTTATGCTTTTCAGTCTCTGCAGGCAAATGATTGGGGGGGTAGCTTTTTTTTTCCATTACAAAACAAGGAGTTCCACATTTTATTTCACAAATGTACTGGAAGAAACAGGAAAGAGCTTCTTTTCAAAATGAGAAATTGTTTTGTTCAGTTTTCCTTAAAAAATAGGCTACTTGGAATATGTTAGGGTAAACAGCCAGGATGTTGTACATCATGCTTTTTGATGTGCTCTCTCACATTTTTATCACTTTAAAAAAAAGCATTTGCATTTGCTTTAAATTCATTGCATACTACTACTTCTGCTGACATTCTGCGCAATTGTTGAATATAGGACATTTGCTTATTTTAAACACCAGAACATGACCAGACTGATTTCCATTCATGATGCAACCAACAAAAAGAATTGATGACCTTATGTCTAGGGCATCTATGCCCAAGATGTATTAATGTGTCATGTTTTAAAATCTCACCTATGGTATTCTTCTTCCTTGCAAAAATAAGATGATAGTGGTGGTAGTTGCATCATTTCTTTGTCTCAAGACCACAAACACTTTCAAGTTATTTGCAAATGATGTCAGGCTAAATACATTAATTGGAAAGCATCTCAGCTTTTAGTAAGGTTAGATACTACATTAAGCTAATGAATGCAAAATGTTTGCTTAAAGCACTAGAGGGACACCCGTATGTGTTCCTGCAATGTTTGTCATATACATCCTCATAAAAACATTTCATGGAAAAGAGATTAAAAAGTGATTCACTGTCTGACTTGTCCATACTATTGTAAGACTCATTACCTAAGGCTTGCATTCCATTCTGACAATTCCTCTGCCCTGGCACGGAAAACAGGTGTCACCAAATTTAAAGTGGAGGTGTATTCTCTCTTGGTGTGACCTTGATGATAAATCGTAGATTTAAACAACAGCAATGAACTGAGGACATTTCACCTCTTCAGCCTTACACATACACAGAGACACACACAGCAGATGCACTAGCAGTACTGAGTTTCAATGGTCCTTTCCTAAAATAACAGCATCTGAAATATATTGTGACATGTTTTCTCTCCTACCCTTTCTCTCTGCCCAAAATTATAGAGATTAGCATTCTCAGAAGAGCCCTCCTTTCCAAATATTCTAAAGAATCTCTAAAAGCAAGCGTGCATTGTGTTGCATACAACCGTGTGCCCTTACTGTCTGTTTCTCTTCCTCCTTTCCTCCAGACATCTTATGCATTGTACCATCGCAGAAATTACTCTGTTTTTATGGAGGGATACAACACACTATTTTCTTTTTGCAAGTTTTTTTTTTTCTCCACAGCCAGTCAGAGTATCATTCTTTAATACAGACTGTTGTCACATAATTTGCCTCAGATGTGCTGATTCCTTTTTCCCTATAATCAGCAGCAGCAGCAGCAGCACCAATTATCTTTCATTAATAACTACCTCCTTTACTCAAAGCAGTTAATGATGGTCTCACAAATACAGGAAACCCAAACACTCAGCCATTGCAAACGTTTTTTCCAAGCATAATTTTTCCCAGTTATGAGTAAGTCTATTTTTGACTTAGAGCTACAGGTGAAATCTATTCAACAGCAAAGGATACACAACTTCACAGGGGCATCACATGATTGCCCACCAAATAAAAAGGATTCTGAAGAAAAGAGAAGATACCAGCTTGTAAAGCTGTGGAACTACCTTCCTTGCAGAGATTGGTTGGGGGTTTGGGTTGTTTTGGTTCCCCCCCCACCCCTTCAAAGAACAGGCTAGACTACCATAATTAAATTATACTTGAAATTGCATACAATGCTCTCAAGCTCTGCTTTCAGGCTTTACAATACAGCTATTTTTTTCTTTTATTTGGAAATACTGACATGTGGTCTTCTAATGGCCCTCAAAGGACTAAAATGGTGTGGGGTTTTGTTTTGGTTTTTGTTTGTTTGTGTGTGGGGTTTTTTGGTGTTTTTTTGTTTTGTTGTTTTTTAGCTGAACAAATAGGGAAGGATGACCAGGAACTAAACAAAGATTTTTAACTTGGTATTGTTTTTGTCAGATAGGAATACCACCTTATAGTGGTATTCACCAATAGCGATCTTGTCCAAAGTGAGATATCAGCTTGTGGTGCAATGGAGTACAGCTGAAAAAATAGAACAGGAGAGCAGAAGAAAATTGAGTACTGGTAAGCACTGAACCATTGCTACCTATTTACTCCTGTATTTAAATGCCTTCAGAATTGTATGTATCTATCAAAGCTCAGTTTCTCTTAATTTCTTTTCATGTAGTGTCTGCCTAGAGAATATTTCCAAAAATCTATCAGTCAGTGTAGGCCTAGTACAGAGAACCACACTTACAGTAATCGTCACATAAAAAAAATTCTTGATGTAGCTTCTCTAAGTACTTAAACAATCCCCTCTATTAACTGTCTTATCTGTATTACCCACTGGGAGAAATAATACCAAAAAAATCTATGAAAGTAAAAATCAGAAGCTATATTTAGCCTCCGGCTTAAAACTTCTTGTCCGCAAGCTAGGAGGGCAGCCTAATAGAGGCAAGAAAAGAATCCAAATCCCATAGACATTCAGATTCCTTAACTACAAAAACATTCTTCCATGTCCTGTAGCTGCTTGCCTGCTCACAGTACTTTCTGCAACAAAGCAGACATGGTCTGGGCTGCAGCCCCCCACAAACAATTGATTTTTGCACTGTTAATGAAGCACAGGAGAGGGGGAAAAAAAAAAAAAAA